CAAATGGTCTACCAGTCCACGGACCAGAAGAACAAAAACTCACTCCTTCTGTGTTCTTGAGTTGTGCGCTGACCAGAATAGGAAGCTCCTAGACACAGTAGATAATGGATAGATCTACCTTGACACACCAGCGCTTACTAGTCTCACATAACCTCATCATTTTAACTGGGGTTAACAAACATAAACAGTTTGCCAGAAACGCAGGTATTCCTGTCGATGTTCTTCTGTCTGTTTCCACATCGCTTCCGTTGCAACACCCCATTGCCTCATCGCTTGCTGTTGATGCATCGACGTATGGGGTGGCAATGCGATCTCGGACTGAGCGATTGCCCACCTGGAAAGCCACCAAAATTGCAGGAAAGGTCATAGGCAATCGATGAAAGTTTTATATTAACATTCAACTCGATTTTGACAAAATTCAACATCGACCATTGATTTCATAGTACCAACATCTACCACCAAGCAGCTCCTACATACGGCTGAGAATGGTTGAAACGGCAGACAGCATGCGCCATTTGAGGAAATGAGTGCACGAGCCAGGTTCCTATATACAAAAAGCATCCAAACGCATCTATGGCCATTGAGCAATTAAAACTATTGTATTGGGATCGTTAACTCATTAGAACAAGTATGAACGATGTGGCTTTAATCGTAAGTACTCAGTGGATTTCTAGTTGAAGTTCTGCAGCTTGAAATGTGTGACAAGCATCAAACAGCATCAGTTCTTGTATCTGGAACTGTTAGTGGAACTTGTGGTGACGTGAGTGTGGTCACGGAGTCAGAAAACTGCACTGATGCCTCGCCAGGCGCTTGGCTGATATAGCTTGAGGGTGGACAAAATGTTGGACGTAGGCGTGTGAGAGCGGTGAGGGTGAGGAGCGGAAGATGTAAAGAAGGAGAGGAAAGAGCACAGCGAGGGTAGAGGAAATGATTGGAGGAGGCGGAGGTCGTGAGGTTAAGGGGGACAGGGTAGAGAAGTTCGGAGGAAGTGACAGAACTGGCAGCAATTGGGAAGAGTTGAATAATCTGAACCCTTGCGTAAACTGCCAGCAGTGGATGGTCCTCAGGACTCACCACAATGAAAGGACATTTCTCTTATCTGCCGCCGGTTTGTCAGGTCACATCGTCAACAAAGAGAACAAATTCAATCCAGAAACTTCAGAAAATTCAGAATTATGTTTGTCTGCTAATTGTTCCCAACTCAACTTCACTGAACATGTCTGGTATTGATGCCCAAGGATGCTTGGGACATTTCAGGGCAATGCCAAAGGGTCAATTCGGTCGAGATTCTTTCACCAAATGGTGCGTGGCACGGTGAAGGCTCAAGTTCCAATACAGACCCTCCGAGTATACGTACAAAAGTACAAATTCCATGAAAACAGATGATTACAAGCCAACCAGACCAGGATTTATTGAGGCATATGATTGGACACGTCAGCAAACATGTCTAGCTCCCAAAGGACAGGCCGCCCATAGTACTTGCGGTGCACGCCGTTGTAACGGTGGCAAATCAGCGAGTAAGCCTCAGAGTATCTCCAAGTATCACAGCCGCGTGGTTATTCAGCATCTAGCGATCCCATTCGTGATGCAAACAAGAAGTGTTGCTGAGTTCTGCGAAGCCCCAGCTTGACATGGCCCTGGTGCGTCACTCCATGGGTGTCCACACCAAACACTGTTCTGCGGGCGTCAAACTCCCTTCATCAGGGCATAAGCCGCACGAACAAACAGGAAACAGCGCTCATAATTTCGATGTTTGAGGATCTGGCAGCAAGGCAATGGCAATCCTCACTGCCTCATGCTCTGGCACCAACGCTGCATTGATCCGGGGCGGATTCAGTACTGATCGCAATGAGCAACCAGGGTTGTATCCTTTGAGACCGATAACAGCCACCCCTACCACTGCCACAACTACCACCACTATCAACCTGCCTCCTTGGAATTCAAGTCTGCGATCTCCTGCGCTTTGTGAGACCCCAACAAAAGGCAAAGAAAACAGCAATGTGAACGGCGCTGAGAACAGTATCTGAGGGAATTGAAAGGACAATTGAATCAACTACCATTCGGCAGTCAAACCGAAACATGGACTTAGCCAGCAGATGTGTTGATAAAATTCTAGCCTGTCACTGAATTTCATCAAATCTCGTGGTAAAGCCCAAAGCACAAAGCGAAAGGCTTTGCGACATGAGTCCCAATGATGTTTGGAGCTCTGTGATATTTCTGAATAGTCTCTGATATGTCCAGTGTCTCTTGCACTAGGAGTGGTGCCTTGGTGTCATGGCTCGCTCTCTGGGTGAAAAGGCTTGCATTGCAGCCTCACTGCAAAGAGTCAATTCGACGAGTAGTATCAAGGTCGTTGGCAACACCAAAAATAGTTTGGAATTCTGCCGCCATCGAAGTCCCTCTGCAAGGTACCAGACCTCAAAAGCACGGTCAATCTCAGCAGCGGATTCACTCCCTTAGTTCGCCGCTTCAGTCACGTGCACCAGAAACAAATACTCCATCTAAGATTTGAATGTCTCATCTGGATGGATATATTGCTAGCCAAATTACTTCAAGTCTCATGGCTGCCAGGCCACTGTTTGGTTCTAATAATTCAACGCTCTTGCGCATTGTGCCTGCATACTGAAGGCGTGGGCTTGGAACATTTTGACACTTTTAAAGACTCTGAGGTGAGCCTGTTCAAGGAAAAATCAGGATTTGATTGCCTTCGTCTTCCGCTGCAGCGCTGCATTTAGCAAAAACATCCTATGCATATAGCTCTGCTAGGTAGGGCGCCATTTTTTCGCGCATGCGCGGCTGTGGTTGGGCTGCAGGGCCACTGGGGGGAGCGTTTTGGAGGTACATTTTTGGATGCTTTTTCGTTACGTCGTGCTTGCAGGGCCACTGGGGAGATCGTTTTGGAGGAGTTTTTGTGTTTTGGTGTGGTTGCTGCGTTGATTCTTGCTCAGCTGCAGGGCCACTGGGGACAGCGTTTTGGAGGTGCATTTTTGGATGGCTTTTGGCAAGGCCGAAGTTGTATCACCATTATGGGTACTAGGAGCAAGGACGCTGCTAGGCCGTACTACTAGGAGCAATGTTAGCTACTAGTAACAGACTCGCTACAAAACATTAAAAACACTCGGAGTCCAATAAAGCGCCCTTTCTGCCTCGTTCTAGTACAATCCCTGCGCCTGCACAAATGGTGTCTACTGAATCCCAAAGGGATCACTTTGGCGTCGTTGAATCCAACCAACAGGAGCTGTTTAGAGCAAGAGAAGGGGAAGTAGCTAGAAGCTACTAGTAGCAAGGGCCTCACTAGTATAGTAAGAAGGATGAGAAAGGATGAATCATTCCGATTTGAGGACTCCCAAGGTCATGATGGTGAACCGGAGACAACATGTCACGATGCCCTATGAGTTGTACATAGAGAGCCCGTATCTTTTGTGGCTTTGACAGAGGGCCTCGCTTCCTCACACTTGCATATTCATCTTGCGTGGTTCAGATATTCATTGGCGCTCACTCTCAAGGAGAAGTCCTTCTCACAATTTGAGGCCCTGTTGGTCAGCTGGCCTGTAGCTCTCTGGGAAACGACTCACAGCTGCTGATTTGGCTGATTTGTGACATCAGAGAAGAACCGCGGTAAATCTCAGAATCAAGTGACCCATGCAACGAATCTCCGCCAACGCTTCTTACTCTTCAGTCTTGGGGGCAAGCCGGCATTCCAGTCGCCGTGCCAACTCAAGTCCTAGCTGACCCCGCCGTTGTAGGTTGTTTTCGCACCCTTGCAAGAAGCTGAAACCTGAAGCGCGCTCCCAAGTAATTAAGAGTACAGTTATGCAACGCATTAAAGTCTGTTTGCAATCAACATTGAGCCTAGGGTCTAAGGATGTTTAAGGCAACAATCTTGTGTGACCCCATCGACTGTCCGACTGCCACGTTTGGTATGATCCCGTCCATGAGCTTGACCACCATGGGGGGGCAACCTGCTAAAGGAGATTCACAGCCCAAAAGAACCACTGTTCGGGTCTTCCAGCATAGTCCTCTCAACTATGTGCAACTCAGTCCAAGTCAATTCCCCTGACCGGTGAACTAGATAGACAAGAAACCACAGGAGCTTGACAAACCCTGACAGAGCAACCTCTCCGGTTTTAAGACCTTCAAACCGACGTGGCAAAGCAAAAGCAGAAGCTGCCATAAAGACTCAAAAAACCAGATGCGCCGGGAAACTAGTGGCGGCCACTGAACATCAGAGTATAAAGTTTTACGTCTCTGAACATGTTACATCATGCCTGCGGTCCACAGCGGCTTCATCAAGAGCTCAGCCCCGTGCACCAAGACCACCTGCCAGTACATGGAGAGGAATCTGAACCAGGAGACGTGGGTTGGAAAAGGCTTTGCAGTCAAAAGGCTGGCTTGTGAAGACCAAAGCAAGGCACTGTGTCCTTAGGCTGTCTGTTTATGGCACGATGATCCACATCAATCCATATCCCGTTCTGTTCGGATCGGCTGTTGCCTGCTCCAAGCGCTTCCAAGAAGGTCGACAGCTTGGGGACCTCCGTCGTCTTGACGGGCTGCCAATTACAACACTTTCGTGGTCTGATACCCTTGTAGCCCTTGTAGAACCCTTCCGGAAGGACATGAAACGCAATATACTTCGAGAAACTCGCTGAGTTGAAAGGAAATGGTTCTTACTTCCAATGAAAGCGAACCCACATGCTATTGACATTGAAAGCATCAATGAAGCTTGGTAAATATGATTCATGATGATTCATGCATATTCATGTTCTTCCTTTCAGCCACGGTTCGTAGCCACAACTATTCTTGCAGGCCTCCGCTTCGGCCTTGCGGTCCCAGAGCACTGTGACAACGAAAGCAGCGGCCTGAGAAAAGGAGACAGCTTAATGACGGGGGTGTGCTCCGAGTGCTCTGTTGAGTGTATTTCAATGATTATTCAACTAATTGTTCATTTACTTAGTAACAAAGGGCATCGCTACTAGTAACAAGTGCATTGCTAGTATTCTTCATCCGATGGCCTCTTTGCCCACCTTGCAGCTTAGTCCACCGATGTTCAGGTCCCAAGGCCCTTCGCCTGTCGGTCGAATCGAACAAGTGGCGGTTGCGCACTCGGCTCTGCGCCATTCGGCTTCTGTCGTTCCTAGTAGCGATGCCAGGAGCCCCTAGTAGCTTCCTTGCTCCTAGTAAGAACCGTAAGAACCAAGCCTTCCAAAGGATTCTCATGGCCCACAATACCTTGAAAGGCACGGGCAAGCAACCACGATTGTCCGAAACCACACGTTTTCGATCTTTTTCCTCAAATCAGTTTTACCTGTGGCAATTTCTGTCTCCGGTTGTCTCCGGCTCTCTTCGGGTGGTCGTGGTCTTCGGGTGGTGGGTTGCTTGGGTCGTGGTGTCTCTGGTTGTACTTGGCCGTCTCCATTCAAGAAGCACAAGGAACCAAATAGCAATGGCCTCCAACCGAGTAGCGCTGGCCTCCAACCTACTAGTGATCGTCACTTTTAAGCCTTGAGATGGCTTCACAAAGAGAGCAGCGGTGGCCACAAGCAGCACAGCTGTTTGAAGGGTGAGTTTCTTCCGTGGTGTCTTTTTCCGTTTGGGGTCTACGCTGGAATAATTAAGGTCTCTCTTATTTTAAGCAGCATTCCTTTACTAGTAGTACAGAGTAGTGAATGTCTACCTCGTATTCGGGTAGTTGACCAATCCGATCCATTTTGTCTACGTTCTGGGCTTTTGGGAAGTACAAGCAACTGCCAGGACATCTCTATTCCTTCCCTGTTTGCCCCAAACCTTGAGGGAAGCTGAAACAAGAAAGACTTAAGCAACACCTTCAAAATCACGAAACTGTCCAGTCTTTACTCATGCATACTGCATACTCTGTTCCGTTGAGATTGTCCCACTTCGTAAGAGACTTAAATACATGTACCTGTAGCTTGATCTTTCAATATTCTTTTAGTTTTGAGATGCTTGCTTACTCACACAGTGAGGGTATACGGTAGCGTAGCTTTCAGTTGAGTCACTCAAAGCTTCTTGAAGATCGTTTGCTGAAAGTGTACATCTGTGGCTGAATCGCACTCTGTGAGCCTCAAAGCATCGAATGGATAGAAAACATTGGACGCGGACAAGGAGATGTCAGTGTGAAATTGACCTCTTGAGGTCTGCCTTCCTAGGCTTCAACACTACTCCAGCACAAATGGCCTGCGTCACATGTCAGAGTGACACGCCTTGAGGCCGCACTGCGCCAGGCCCTCCTCCGAGCGCGGGTGAAGCTCATAGAGATCGCCTAGGTGGATGAGTTCTGCAAGCCGGCCGGTCTGTCACTACGTCTCGCCATTTTGGGGAACCGTCTGGGAGAACAAGCGGTGGAAGAGTCCGAACACCGCCCACCGTATTGATCGCGACAAGCATCACACTTACACCGGGATCTGTGTGCAAAGCCCGGCTTCTTTCACAACTCCAAACTCCAATCAATCTAAATTCTACGCATCAAAAGAAGCAATTGTCCCATCCAAGCGGTGGTTCAACGTTCCATGCCGTTGATCAGTTTCGGGGCTCGTGAACTACTGAACCAACCCAACCACCAACAACGAACACTTTTACCAGAGAGGCTGTATCTGGCAGTCATGTGGTCACCCTTTGCTTGTAATTGACCACTGCGACTTGGGGACGTAAAGGATGGGAGGAGCAAGTTGGAGGCCATAGCTGGTAGATTAGAGGCCGTCGCCATTAGGTTCCTTAAGCTTTCCTTAAATAAGCTAGTAGAAACAAGTGCCACGCTACTAGGAACAGGTGCCTTACTAGTAGAAACAATGTTGCTATTAGAAGCTTTCCTTCAAGTTTCATCAGTCTCGTCCGAGCGTCGCCCGCGCTTCCGCGCCAGGGCCGAGAAGGTCGCCGCTGGGGGTGCTGAGCCGTGCATCACTGGCAAGGAACTCAACACCTTGCAGTCTCAACAGCACTTCATGACACTTCCTTAGCTAGACAAGTCTATCATGGAACTAAATCTCTTCAAACAAACTTTGAGTATTGCAAATCTAAATGTTTCAAGTAGTTCACCATTGAAAAGAAATGCAAACAACTTGTTGGCAAATGTTCTCTCAAGGTAACTCATACGGTTAGTCCGCTCAGTGGTGCGGCACTCAGCTGGGCGAAAGCACCGGTGGAGCTTCAACCACCTGAGCCTCCAAGAGAAGAGCAGGACTGGCTAAGACCTGGCCGCCATAGGAACAAGTTGGATGGAGAGTTTCGTTTCGATCGGTTCTGTATTGACCGTGCGCCACCATCTGGGGTTGTGATCATGCCCTCAACATACGACACGAGCTCTGCAGAACTTGGGTTACAACATCGCCTATAACTGCCAACATGCACTTTAGGAAGGCTTTCCGAAATCTGAACGTGTCCAACAGGCCAGAATGGAATGAGGCCTCTGATCTCAACACACCTTGAAAGTATTGAACATATTGAGAAGCAATTTACGTATGTGTATGTTGATAAATCAGCCCAAGCGTATCGTGAACGTCTGTATTTTCTAAGACTCCTTTTACCTCCAAATGCGCCTGCAATGAGTCAGCTGCCACTAGCTCAACTGTCTCGCCTACACCAGGGCTATAACCTCAGAATGGGAGCTCTCAAATACAAATGCAAATCACAGTTAAGCCCCGCAAACACAAACTCCCTTGGTATGCCGTTCTGTGTCTGTGAGGTCCCCGGCACGGTAGCTTTAGCCGTCTAGTGACGATGGGCTGAAAGCTCTTCATCAACGGCTCAGCCCCGTGCACCAAGACCACCTGCCAGTACAAGAGGAATCTGAACCAGGAGACGTGGGTTGGAATGGTTGGAGACTGCTTTCACGTAGCAAGCGGGTGAAATAGCCGGCACATGGCGGCACAGCGGCACGCAAATAAATAGATATGCAAAACATTGCAAAAGGGATGGAAGCATACAGGTCAAGATGAATTCAACTTAGAATCATGTCTCATATAGAAGCAGCCATTCAAACGGTGTCAGGGTGTATCAAATCAGGGCGGTCCTTGAGCCTTAGGCTGCCTGTTTGTGGCACCATGAAACACATCAATCCATATCATATCCATGAGGACCATTGCAAATGTGCAAAGAACTTGAGTGATGTCGTGGTTTTACGGAAACCAATGAAGCACAAAACCCCTACATGTTGCCATCCCCCTCGACCCGCCTGCTGCGGTGATGTTTGAGCGATGAGCTCCAGGATTCCCCGAGAATCCGTGTGATCTGAATGTGAAACCGTCTCCACCTAGTGCAAGTGGCACACGGAGAGCTGCGCGTCTCTGCGAAAACCCACAGCTTCGATCCCATGTCCCGCCTCGCATTTCACGCGGATGATCTCTTCGTCGAGCTCGATTTGCTTGCTTTTGGCCTCCGCTGGTTCGCAATCAAAGGACCATTTGCGAAAGACAGAGCGCCTGCACCAGATTCCCCACAGTGCCAGGCAAACAGTATCCTGGGATGACCTTGGGAGGACAAAGATCAAAACGGAATGCGAACCGCAGAACCGAGCATCCTGGCCACCAGATTCTTGCTGTCTGGAGCCAGCGACTTGAAGATTTGCAAGGATGACCCTGTTCGGCAGCAACCGAACACATACCAAACATGGCAACGAGGCGCTGATCGCAGATACCAAAACTCTTGCCCTCAGATCTCGGGATTTGTCCAACTCATGCCAGCTGATTCATACTGATTCAATGATTTCAATGGTCCGTGACCGCTTCACCTGCATCCAACATCGCAGGTCCAGCCAAGACCACAGCTGGAGTAGGCCTCGAGTAGCGACACAATCACAATCACTTGAAGCGCTTCTTTCTCAACGTCGTGAGCTTCCCCCCTCCTAGCGATGGCCTACAACCTACTACTAGCTTCTTGTTACTACTAGTAAGGCACCTGTTACTACTAGCGTGGCACTTGTTACTACTAGCTTCTTGTTACTACTAGCGATGGCCTCCATTTCCTCAGGTCGGATCATTGCCAAAACTTCCTCAACATCTGCAACTCGCACATGCGGGAACTCGAAGGGCTTCTCGGACGATCGAACCTCCCCGCCGCAAGGAGCATTATTGAACGGAATGCCAGCATGATCATTGGTCAACACTGTTAGTCCAAGCAAGAAGCACTCATATCCAGCTAGTTGTCTTGGCCAAGCCAATGAACACCACATCACCTACACCTGGTGGGTTGGGAGTCGCTTTTCCACCAGTTGGCGCTAAAATGTGCCAAGTGCAAACAGCACTCCAAACAGCCTTGCGACTGCCCCAGGAGGCAAACAGCTGGAAGAGGGCTCCAGCCTATGCACATACGGACATATGGACTCACAGCAAACGAGCTGCCATACGGACTCACCTCAAACCGTACGCGAAGTGCTTTGAGGCACGGACCTGTTCGGAGTATCCACGGATCACCTTGGAAGTCGAAGGAACTCCCCATGCCGCTCACTCAGCTACGAGACAAACGGTCGTAGTCTGTCTTTCAAAGCCTGCTCCTACTTCATTGAGTAGGCACCTACTTCATCAAGTAAGGGCTAACAAAAACATACAAAAACTACTAGGTAACCTGCTACTATCGACGCAGAATATCTCACGCTTCTAGTATTCTAGTGATTTGGTTCTCAGATTTGGAAACTGAACTCCCAAAACCGTGTCGGTCACGTCGCTCACGGGTGGCTTCGCTTTGCTGCCGAAGGTCAATGATGGGATAAGCCAGCTGCGCCCGAGCCCAATGCTCTTCGAAGATCATGCCTCAAGTGATCAGAGGAGTGAGATAGTGTGAGATATCGGATAATCCTTGAAGTCCGGGATGTGTGCCTCAAAGCTTTCAAAAACTTCGGAAGATGTCAACTTCCCAAAAGAAACACCCAAAAAGGCTTGTGCGTGTGTTTGACCATCAAAGCTTCGCATATTAACTTTAAAAGCCATTTGGATCAACCTTCCTATGAAACCGAGGCTCCTGCATATCTCTTGGCTGCGTCCCATCATCAGTAATGGCACCAGCACCTTGCAAATCACATTTCTGGACGCGAAGAGCAAAGTTCGGCCACAAGTCTTCAGTACTCTTGAACCTTGGAAGACGAGCGCAACCCACTAACGAAGAAAAAGCAGAAAAACCCACAAGTGCAGTGCTTAGGTTCCCCCTGATCTGTCGAGATCACGTAGTTTAGACTCGGTCCTTCGCACAACTCGTTCATAGAAACGGTACTCGTAGACTCGTAGACCAGACTTTCTCGTTCATGTTGACGTTTGAAATCTAGTTCTGCTTCGACCCAATAATCCTAATAGCGACGGCCTCCAACCTAAGAGCGTCTTTGTCTTGGTATCTCCAAGAGGTTTGAGAGGGAGTCGGGATTCTAATTATTGATGGCTCTACCTTTGGACGCCGTGCCTTGCCACCCTTCTCGAGGCACTCTTGGACCTGAATGACCCCAATGGCTGGAAAGAGTGCTGAAGGCACCGCACCAAGGGTGGGTCGGTGGTTCTGTCAGTTGGGCAAAAGTGAGCTGAACACCTGTGTTGTACAGGGTAATATGCATGTAAGTATGCATGTAAATACGCCATCCAACTGGTGTGAACGAACGTTATAAGCCGATCATGACACCCCATCCACACCTGGCCTTGCAGCAAAGCTCGTACTCTTTCATTCGCTTGGAGCTTCGGACTGTGGTGCAACACCTCGGCCACAGGTATCGAAAAAGACGCCACGATTACGAAGACTGGTAGCCCTTGTTACTAGTAGCATCTAGTAGCGATGCCATGCGATGCTCTTGTTACTAGCAGCGATGCACTTGTTTCTAGTAGCTTTGTCGAAGACTTTACTGAATTTGCAGAGCTGGAAGGAACAGGAACAGGCTGGTTGGAGTTCTGAAGTTCGATTATGTTTTTACGAATGGACACAGCTCTCAGCTGTTGTGACTGATAGGTGAGTCATCGTGAGTGTCAACATACAAAGAAACATCTACTCGGGCATCATCCGGTGCTTGAAGCAATGAACTCCAATTGGCAAACGTGTTTTGCCTTTTCCCCCAACCTAGGAATGGGTGAGATGGAACTTCGTTTCAAGTTTACTCGATCTCTGGGAGGTGAACGTCTGCGATGGTTTTATCTTTCGCAAGTGACTGAAGACACCGCGAGTCTCGCCGACGTCTGCTCGAACACTCCGCTCTGAGTGGCACCACGTCGTCTCAGTGATCATCACGTCGGGGCGCAAGCCCAAGGGAACACGGGCGGCGCTCAGGTGATGGTCTGGCCTTGGCTCCACTCTTCACCGCTCTTGCCCTTGAAAGTGACACATGACACATCCAAATTGAAGAAGTAAGGGCAGTAAGGAGCTTTGCAAGGCTTTTCTAAAGCGAATTGGCAACTGGTACGGAGTCAATCGCAAACGCGCATCTACGATCCCCAAGCCAGGGTGTCGCACACTGTGGTGAAATCGCCGGTGTAAAGCGCACTGAGCCTCGATTGCCATCCTGCTTCTACTGTCTTGAGGAATTCGCTTTGGTGGAAGTTTTCTGTCGAGAATAAGAGTTCTAAACCAAATAGCGATGGCCTCCAACCTGCTAGACATAGAGGGTCTGCTTGGGTCTTCCGGCTCAGCTCAGCGTCGAGCGCTGCACTGGCGGACCAAGCATGGAAACCGTCCAGCGTCGCTCTCAGGTCGAGACCCACCCGCTTCGACCAAGAACATCACTGCACCAAGCCTCAGGCTTCGAAGACGAGAGTTGCTTACTGCACTAGGCACTACTTTGCACCTTTGAACCATCAACTCATCTTTTAACTTCTCAGCCGTTTAGATCCTTGGAAGAGAAATGGAAGACTTAGCTCGACCGACAAACGCACCCACACTGCAGACTCTGCAGTTCAAGGCAACGGACACATGTCCGGCGTAGTATGCTGTCACGGTGAGGTTCTCTTTGACCACGACTCGTTCCTTCAAGGGTTTTTCTAGGCGTCTCTTTTTTCGAGGAAACAATTAGGACTGCCTGTAAGAAAAATATTTATTCACCCGAAACAACAACTAACTATATAGAATTATCACCGTTTATCAACCATTTTAGCACAACTGTAACTGTGATCTGTGCTCACATCTTCTGGCTCCTGCAGCTGAACACACTTGGCACGCTCAAAACAAGGATTGATCATCTCCGTCTTGTACCGGGCATCCTGCACGCCAATCGTCCAAACAGCACAGCCGGGCTTCCCACAATTGAAAGCCTCACTATGCCTCACTTATCTCTTTTGACAGGTGCCATCTATCTCCTTCACACACCCTCCGGAAGCTGCGTTTCTGTGTCAAGATTGCCAATCCGGAGATGAAACCACGCCAAATGCAGGAAGGCCAACGGTTTACCATAGTTTACCTAGTGGATTGGTCCCTGACAGAAAGACGCAAGATTTCTACGGCAGCAAATGCAAATCAACGCATTCATTGCAAGTCTCGCAACTCAGTGTTTTAAAAAGTATCTCGTGCAAAATGTGTACCGCTCTCAGCTATCCCTGAGCTATGACATTCTGAGTCCTCTTTTTTTTGCGGCCTGTCAAAAGAACAAGCTTGCAGCTTGCTTGCACTCAAAGAGCCATGCATGCCAGCACAGAAATGGCAAAGGAACACTATGTAGTCTGCATGAGTCCAGTCGTCAATCCTCCCTTCTGCGCCCGCTCTGGGGCGTTCGCCTGAAGCGAAGGAAATCCCTGAGGATGAGGGGTGCAATGGCGCGGGTGGGATGCGTCATCAGCAGCAGCCTTGGAGTTGCACAGCTTGACTATGCTGTTCCCTTAGTCCCTTAGTCATATGTTGGTGGAAGTACCTAAATGTTTAAAGGTGTCATGCATTGTGGAATTTGAGGTGTCATAGCTACACACACAGTTAATAGAGCTTCTGAAGAAATGGGAACTGGAGGTTGAGAAAGCTGTCCCATGTGCTTGAAAACACGCCATGTCCTTAGCTCTACTAGGAGCAAGGGCATCGCTACTAGAGGCTCCTGGCCTTACTATTGCCATTGCTTGTCAACTCCGAGGACCCAACCCACGGTAGCCAAGCACCTCAGTCAAGTAGGGCCTGAGAGCGGAAGACACGGGTAGATGTCAGTCCTTCGGAGAGTCTGGGAACCAAAGAAGAGGGTGAATGGTTGGTCTGAGAACCAAACAAGGCTCCTGCGTGGTCCTTCCAGAGCTGCCGAAAACGGTGTGAACATGTCTGCAGTCTTGAGATGTCGTGGACTCCTTCACACTGACACTCTACGACTCTACTTACCCTCTACCACTCAGTGAAGAAATCACCAAATCCAAATCCCCACCAGGTGGAAGTGAGTGAGAAGCACCAGGTCCAGCTTCGCAACGTCCTCGGACCGTTCGAGTGATTCGAAACATGTGGACACCAAGGATCGAGAAGACTCGAGAAGACTCGAGAAGATCGAGAAGACTCGAGAAGACTCGAATCTCAACCGATGCGATTGGATCAGAAGCGATTGGAGAGCCCCTAGTAGCTACTTGCTACGTTCGTAGCGTCCAACAGCTCCTAGTAGTAAGGCCAGGAGCCCCGTTCGTAGCGTCCAACAGCTCGTCGTATTTGATCCCAGCGTCAAGATCTTTGAACTCTGGATATCGCCGCTCCTCGGGCCTTGGTTCGGCTTCGCCTCTACGCCTCTTCATCCGAACAAGACGCTACTAGGGGCTCCTGGCATTGCTACTAGGAGCAAGGACGCTGCTAGGAACAAGAAGCTACTAGTAACAAAGGACATCGCTACGAACGGAGCAAGGACGCCCGAAAAAACTGAAGTCAGAACTACCAGCGGGGAGGTGGAATGCAAGATGAGCAAAAGACCTGAGACCCCCACACTGCAACTGCCACGCCACAATCCAAGAGGACGCGAAAACCTCCAACAGAGTCGCATGATTGAAAGAATGCAACAAGAACTGAAATTCATGAGCTCAAGATGTGTTATCATCGAAAGAATCTAGAATCTGCTGGATTCTAGCTAGCATCTTGTCGTCCTCCATTTCTCACACTCGGTAGGCATTAGAGGTATTTCGCTGCGCCTGCAATCTCTAAGAGTATGCAGCTTCTACCTCAGTTCGCAGCAGTGGAGGACGAATTCGGCAGCTTACTTGCCTTGCATCGAGATCGAGTCGTTGAGGCCCAAGCCAACGTGCTTCCCAGCTCCCAAAGGTGTCACTCGAAGCATGTTGGAAAATCTCACCTGAACTGTGTGAGCCGGTCGAACTTGAGGTAATTACTTTAGTTTAGATGAAACATCGAACTTCCTCAAGAAAGTGCCTGGACTGAAGGGACGTCTTGCACAATGATATCTTTTGAACAGTTCAAGAGAGGCGACTGTGGCGACTTTGCGGAGAACTGGTTTCAAGACGTACTCATCTGCCCCGCCTTCACCGCAAACTTTGTGGCCGCAAGTGAATATCAACTCCACATGGGGCTTTGGAACCAGCTGGTCATGTCGACTTACGATTTCAGCTTGCAGGCCTATTTCTGTAAATGCTGAACCAACCATCCAAGTACAACTTGTAGCCATGCATAGCCATGCAATAGAGTCATGGAGCAAGTTGCTGGTTCTGATTTTTGGAGCTGAGATGCAAAGAAACATTCCCTAACAACGGCTTCAACCAAGACGATGTGGCATTGCCCTTGAAGAGTTGTGGCGGTGTCTTGAAGACTGCAAAGCACTTGCTTTTATCAGGAGCAAGGTCTCATAACTGAGCTGCCTGGGTCACCCCCAAAGATGGTGGTACATGCAAGTTCCAAAAAGCCTCGATCTGACAGTCAATTCATTCTCAGATACCATGTTCTGGCTTGTCTTCATGTTCCGCTTGCACTCTGCTCTCCAAACTCCCGTTAAAAAAGGCCACGTTCAAGCAGCCCTGAATCAGAAGAAATGCACCGAATTAGAAGCTCTTGTGGCCAAGGCAGCCGGATTCAACTCTGCCGGAATTGCCTGTAAAGTATAAAAAATGTCGACTAAAATTGAGACACACCGCCTCCCGAAAGCAAAGTTGGGGAGCCCTCCCTCACTTCGGCAGCACGAGTGGGAGTGTCCCAGTCAAAATCAGATTTTGCCACACCAAGCCACGGAAAGTTGGGTCCATGACATTCAGGACCTTGTGTCCCGAAGGCTCGAGCTGCCCCCCTTGGGAATGGGTGATGTTTTGTTCTCTTCCTCTTGTTTGCTCGTGTTTTCTTTTTGAAAGTAAAGGCCTCTGTTTTTTCTACTTTCTGCTTCTTGATCGTCCTCCCAGAGGGGCGTGACCACCGGTGTCTTTGAGACATGTTTGAGGCTTGGGTGTTGGCTCTATGCACAGCGCTGTGATGGACCGCGCAAACGCAGCAATTTGCATGCTTCAAACGGAACGTCAGCGCAAGAACTAATTATCTGGGCAGCCAGCCGCCCAGCAACGCATCTCATCGCCGCTTTAGTGCATCACTGCAGGCAGCATCCTGCTGGGTTCAGGTTCCTGGTCTGGATCTGGATTCCTTCTGTTGAGGAAGATGTATACTCGCCAGACCTCACGGGCTCAACCCCTCCATCCATCTGGTTGTCTGTTTGTCTGCTCTTGGTCACAGTGACCTCGATACTGCAAATTTGGTAAATAGAATTCAAAAGGCTTCAAACATGTGGAGAACACCAAACAACACGAGTTTGTCTTGGCCTGGTGAGGTCAGTGGAGGAGTCCGCGGTCGCGCCGCTTGCGCCGCTTGCGGTGCTAGCAGTGCTTTCCTCTAAAACCTTGATCACCTCGATCCACAAGGCCTCTTCCACGGTCTGGTTCCTCGCCATCTCTGAGCGCTTGAGATTGTACTACTACTACTACTACTACTACTACTACTACTACTACTAGTAGCTTCTTGTTCCTAGTAGTAGGGCCAGGAGCCCCTAGTAGCGTCCTTGCTCCTAGTAGCGATGCACCTTGCTACTAGTAGCAAGAAGCTAATAGTAATAAGGTGTGGTGACCAAAAGTGCTCTCAGATCTTTTGGAGGGCTAACTGCTCCCCTCAAAATGGGCTGGTTGAACTGTAGTGGGTCAACATCAGAACCCATTTTGAAGAGCTTCGTTGGTTTCGGTGGTTCCCAAAAATGAGCCAAGCTTCACATAGGTGAAGGATCCCATTGTTGCCAAAATGTGTGCCTCACTGCACGACTGATCGGGTGTGATTTCCCTGACAGCTTAGTATCTACAAACAGTTTCGATCATGTAAAGACTCAAGACTTCTTCAGCAGTCTTTGCATGCAAGTGGCCTCTGTTTAACTAAAAACTTACTTGATTTACTTTAGCAATCATACAATTACAGTACTTAGCTGCCCTTTTTCTCCACCGTATCCGATTTGCTTGCTCTCTCTTTCTAGGTCAAAAGGGATGGTGGTCGATGTGGGCGTGTGGTCTGGCTGTGGCAAGTGGTTTGTTCTTGGCCACGGAACTAGGGGCTCCTGGCATCGCTACTAGGAGCAAGGACGCTACTAGGGGCTCCTGGCTAGTAACAAGGACGCTACTAGGGGCGCATGGTCCTAAGCCGCTCAATCGCCAGTGTCAGTGTGTAGAAGGCCGCAAATCCCGAAATCTGTTCATAGGCTTCCCCCTACCCTCTCCCACAAAATAATTGAACACAATGATGAAACAGCTTTCCTCAATGCCCAGTCTGTCTTTGATTTTCTCTCTCTCTCTCTTCCTTTCTCTCTGTTTCTCTCGGCCTTGATGATGTCCTCATCGGCCTTCACGGAGGCTTGAGCTTGTGCAGCATCGATGCTGCAGGCCGCTTTCAATTCCTAAGGTCCAAGGAGCCCGCTCCTACTTAATTCGGTAGGCGCCTACTTAATAAAGGGAGTAAGCTCCTAGCCACTAAAGCTTCTAGTACGTGGACGCAGGATAGCTCATGCTAGTGATTTGCTTCCTAGCTTTTTAGCGACACTAGTCGTTTGCCCCATTGCCCTCACCCTTACTTAATTAAGCAGGCGTGCACTCAATTAAGGGGTAAACAAACAACTAGGTAACCTGCTACTAGCAAACGGACGTGGATAGCTCATGCACTATTCATTTTGGTTCCTAGATTCATTTCTTGTTATCGTTGTCTTTATTTGTGGTTTATCTGTTGGTGATGTTTCCCTGTCTTTCCTTCTCGCTTTCTGTTTGTGACATTCCGTCCTTCAGTGTCACGATGGGCATTTCGGACTTATCGATGTTGAGCTCCGGCATGATCAAAGTGATTGGAATGCTCCGGCGGACGGCAGAGAAGACCTGGGCAGAAACATGCTCTCTGTGCGGAGCAGTTTTCGTAAGTTGGAAATCTTTCTCCACCAAGACCAGCCAGGAGAAATATACTGAAATTGCAGGATTTGATGATTCCACAGGACGCGCGCCTCGAAAATACACCAGATTCGACTAGTGTAAGAGCACTCTTTGAACTTGTCCATGCACATCAGCACTTTGCCTCTTCACATGTGCCAATACGGGACATGTTTGCGGAGAGCAGACGACAAAAAGAGAAATAGCGAGTTGGTCGCCCCTGCTGTGAGAATTCCTTCCTGAATGAGCAACAACATCAGGCACCTGCACTTTCCAAAGGCTTGGCAAACACTGCCAGGAGCTCTTGAGTTTCTGCCGTCTCGCCATCTTGCAGCAACCTGAACCTTGGCTCATCTCTGGAGCTTCTTATAACTCTCTTGGACAATGATGGACAATGGATAGCGTAACTTTTCAGGAAGCATTGTTCCATCGTGGCACTCAGAATCACATCCAACCCTGACGGCAGGACATGGCAAAGCACACCCAACCAAAAAGAATTGACCACACCCCATGGATCGGGCTTAGCCGATCATCATGCAAGTGAGATTTGTTGATTGCTTTCATGATCTAGCTCATGATCTTTACAAAGCTTCGATATTGAAACCAAGAAGCTGGTTGTTCACCTTGGCGAGCGAGACACGACCGAATGACCGCAGCAGGACAGTGTAGCACACCACTTGTTTCTTGAGCTTTACGCCCAGCTTGCCGCATACAATATGAACATATATGAACCGAAAGCATTGCTCCATGTCACGAAGAAACACCACCAGACACAGGTCGAGTCGGGACTGCTCCCCGCGACCACAGCATGTGTGGTCCACCATTTGCGTAGCGCTCCGCATACGTTCTTCAGGGAATAGCCTGGCATGATCCCACAGAATTTCAGCAAACACAACAACGAGCCTGCGGAGCCTAGAGAGCCTGCGAATTGAGCAAATCCTTGACTTTGCTTGCTTTGTCATGGGATTCTGTGTTTGAGGATGCTCAACCTAAATAAGCCAAAAAAGCAATGAAGACTTTTTGGGCCTTCTCTTTTTGCGAGCGAAAGGTGTCTAGCTCGGGCAAGGGTCGATTCCAGTGGTGCACAAATCTCTCTGCGAGCGAAAAAAGCAGGCTAGGCAAGAATAAGTGAGATTGAAATGGACAACTTGCAAAAAGAGCAAATGAGAATAACAGAATAACATAGAATAACTAAGTTGTCAATCGACAAATTCCCCCTGATTGCCTGCTTTAACTGGTAAAGACACCACCAAACCGCGGCTGAGTCACCCCAAGCCCACGACATGAACCAATTTGCTGGTCCACTCTTCCCGTCCTCTCAAGGCGATGGTGCTCCGTTCGAGTCGCGATGCCGCTCCGTTCGTAGCGTCCTTGCTCCTAGTAGTACGGCCAGGAGCCCCTAGTAGCGATGCTCTTGCTCCTAGTAGTAGTAGGGCCAGGAGCAAGAACAGTAACACAAACGCAAAAGTTAGCAAGACATTTTTGGGTGCACGGAGAAGTTAACTGAGTTTCCATAGTGTCCCATTGCTTTGGCCATCCTCCATTATCCCACACCCACACAGAAACATGGGAGCCTTCTCATGATTTGTCTTTATGCGATCTGAGAGGTCCTTGCGTAGTGCATCAACAAGGCTGCAGTCTGGCTTGCCATCTCGAGGACAAATCTTTCCTTTTCCAAGCGCATCTGGACCATACCTCGAGAGACAGAACATGACAGAACTGAATTGTCAAACAGTTCGCAAAAGAAGTCTGTGCTGGGTGATGTCAAGACAGAAAGGTTGGACGTTGTGTCGCAAAAACCTCAATAAGTGATTCAACCACTTGCCTATGCCATCCTGAGCCTGTCTACTTGTGCACTCTTTCCTGTCTACTTGGTTGCTTGACTGCCTGGGTGGTGCTGCGGTGTTTGTGAGCGGTCTTTTGGGCCAAGCTACGCTAGGAGTCCTGCCATCTCGTGAAAGTTGGGGTTTTCTGGAGGCGGAACGACATTGAGGCTTCCCCAATTGCAGGCTCCTGTCTCCTCAGCAACGGGACGGCGATCAACGAGCCTTCAACGAGTCTCCTTGCAGGCGTCCCAAAAAAACGACAACGAGCCTTCAACCTAGAAGCAATGGCCTCCAACCTAGCGATGGCTTCCAACCTACTAGCGATGGCCTCCAACCGTTCAACCTACTAGTTACTGGCGCTGGCCTCCAACCCAGAAGCGATGGCCTTCAACCTATTGAGCTTGAGTATATATAAGTCTGTATGTTTGACCTTTCTTTTGAGATGAACCATTGCCGCAGTATGTATGATAGCTGCCAAGTCGTCAAGCCCCAATGTGCTAGGTATGGAATGGTATACATTACATTCAACATTCCGACACGTGACATGGACCAATGGACCACTCCCGGAACCGAAATCAGCCGAAGCTCCAGGTCGCAGCAACGGACCTTGACTCGGAAGCCGCACTCCGTGACTGCGCCGATCTCATGGAACCGCCACTCCGTGTCCTGCGCCTTCTGCGCGTACAAACCTCACGAGTGGAGCGAGGCAAACTGAGGCCGAACTGAGCAGTTTGCACGCGGAGCGAGACAACGTGGAGCCAATTCATGCCCGGCTGCTTTCCAGCTCATCCAGCGCAAAGGATATGGAGACTCCGAGACGTTTGGACTCTTCGCTGACTTTCTGCTTGCGCTCACCGATCAGTCGATTAGCCTTGTGTTGCCACATGCCGTACCTCGGCAACCCATCGGGAGAGATCAAATTAAAGAAGAAGGGAGAAAGAAAACGGTATGTAAATTGCTATCTAGTTGGAGGCCATCGCTCTTAGGTTGGAGGCCATTGCTAGGAAGAAAGAAAGCGACCTTTCTGAGCACTTCGAGTCCAGCCAGTCTCATCCCATTTGTCTTGCCAACGAACTTGTTTTGCGCAGGGAGTTTCGTGGGGTGATTCTCACCAAAGGTCTGCTGTCGATGATCCGACACCTAACAACGATTTCAACCCTCTCAAGCCGAACAATTTTTGCTAAGTAGCTTCGCGTAGGAGGCCTTGACAGTGTGCAGTTCCTGCAAAGGTGGAAGGATTCTCCCCCAGCATGTGCAACTCAAAAGTTTGGCATGCTTCTTTTCGGAGAACCAACACTGCTTTTGCATGCATGATATTAGGTTGCCATCGCAATAATGATATCACGTGCTTTAATTTTGCTATTTAGTGATTTATGGACCTGCTGGAGAGGCCACATTGTTTTGGCTGGAAAGACTGTGCTCTTTCCGATTGACTTCTCACGCAGCTCAGCGCTCCTCATACTCGTGCATCGCTTCAAGGTCTTTGAGGTGTTTCTTGAGATACCAAACCCGCACCCATCCAGCGATGATGTAGCTGAAGATGATGAGCAAGCAAAAGCCAAGAAGGAAAAGGACAAAGTAGAGAATCGTACATTGATTGTCCTGCCACTTGGTTTCATCTTTGGAACGGAGGCAGGCTTTGAACATGCTTTCGGACTTTTGAAAGACTGAAAATGAAATCGGTGTTTGTTGAGTCTTTTGCGGTACTGAAGTGTGGAGTCGAGCTGACATGCTCCTCCCCCAGCACCATGAAGGGGAACGTGCATTCACGGCATTCATCGTCTCCCGGCATGGCATACAACTGACCCGGGCATGCTTTGCACTCGCCACCCGTGGCATCTGGCACCGAGCCCTCGGGACCTCACGACAAAGCGGCACGTGGGCGCAAACCGTGTGCCAGAGCAAAGGGCAAACGGTTCTAAGTTGCTAGAAGCAAGTGTGTTACATAGGAAACAAAAAAAAGATCTTAGCGCATTCTGCACGTGTATGCACCGTTTATTCCATCACAGTTGAGAAAGGACCTGAATTTGCCCTCTGAAGCTCCCATCACTGAATCTTTGTCGTGGCACATGGCAGGCACCGCTCAGACCTCTCAGCTGCAAACCTCACTGCACAGCCATTGGACACATTGAATGCATTCGTTAGACATCGCTCAAGACTGTCGCTGGATTGACAAACGCCACGTCACATGCCCGACTCGCAGGCACTGCACGAGCTCCTCTCGTCATTCGGCGCGCTGCCCGCAGCGCCTTGGAGGAGTCATGCGTACGGCCAGGAGCCCCTAGTCGCTTCTTGCTACTAGTAGCGATGCCCTTTTCTCCTAGTAGCGTTTTAGTAACCCCTCAATGTGCTTTGTGTCATTCTGCAAGCCAAGCATCAGGGCACGCAGCTGACACCTGGGAAGGCTGAGGGACCACTATTTCCCAGCAAATGCAGCAGTCCAGGAGGCCGCTACAAAGCATCTCTTGTGAGGCATCCACAGTGACTACAAAGCCTGAGGTGGTTGCCCGGTGGCTTAGTACTTTTGCTGGCTCATTGTTTGCACCTTGTGGGTGCTGTTGGATGATCTAGTGCAGTTTGCCGGAGTTGATTACAAGGTGTCGAACTCCCAAGCAACTTGCGCCCAGGTTTACAGGCACAGTAGAGGTGGAGGGGGCTGCGCATGCAATACCTGCAAAGGCCTCCAACCTAATAGCAATGGCCTCCAACTAGATAGTGATGTACATGCTTCACTCCTAAATAATCCTAAATATTCCTAATGTCAAATTGGTTGCATGGGTGCAGGCTTTCGTGGTAGGAGGGATGTGTGAGATATGTTGTCGATCTCGACGGCCACTGTGGAACTTACAGTGCTAGTACAACACGTGGGTTGGTAGCTCCAAATCTTCTTTGTTTTGTGAGGAATGATTCTGAACAGGTTTATGGCCTTCTTGTCTTTAATGGGACAGTATTTGTCTAAACGGATTGTTTCTGTTGGTTCAGGTGTCGGCGGCTTCTTGCAATGTAGTGCATGGCATGTGGAGGTGCTTAGACTTTGCCAGCACCAGGGCACCCTGCACGTTCATCTACCAACATGCCTCGCGCATAAGCCAACAAATACACTCTTCACGTACCCCTAAATGTTCCTTCAGCATAGGCAGGGACACTTCACGCTGCTCGATTACACATTCAAGATTTGTGAGGATTTGGTGTGAACCTGAAGCAGCAGCACCAGCAGCAGTGACCTCCGAGAACAAGTCATGACATTCTTCATGCTGAGTGGCTGCCAGCTACTGCGATGTAGCCCTCATCACAGCGGATACACTCTGTACGGTTGGTATTTGGGCGGCTCCCATGCCCACACCTGCGCTACTCAAAGGCACATTTGGAGAACAGCTCCGTCTTGACGGATTCAATGACTTGTCATGTTCTCCGAACTGTTGACCCCCTTTCAGTGACTCTCAGAGGTATGGGAACACACCTTTTTAAAGGCCGCTCTGTCCAAACAGACCGTGTACCGCATAGCACACCCACCTTCAAGGGCTCAAAGGCCCACACACCCAGGCCTCACGCAGGTGGAGTGATTCTCGGAAGCGACAAAGCCATCTGGGCATGGATCACAGGTGGCACTGCCGGGGCTCGAGTGGGTCCCAGCATAGGGGCAAACATAGCACTCCGCTGCACCAGGCTGACTTGAACGGCCAGCAGGGCAAGCCAGGCAGTCCGTCTGGCCCATGAACTGCTGGTATCGCCCAGCCTCACATAGCTCACAAGGAGCATTCCCGACAAAGATCTTGTAGCGGCCACTCTCACAAGGCATACAAGCATCCCAATTTCTATACCAATCACTGATGTTGGGAACCTCTGCATTGGCTTGGAGGAATTGCCCAGAAGGACACTCCCCTTCATGACACCCATCCCCATGGAAAGGTGCCAAGCACTTGCACTGCCCTGAGCCGAAGGAAGTCAAGACCTGGTACTTGGACTTGTTGGACTCTTGGGAACTGCTCCGAGCATCAGCATCATCCTCACAAACCCCTCGCCTGCTGCATGTACCCTCCAAAGTGTTATACCCTGGGCATGCCTTGCATGTCTCCAAATCTTTGAAATGAAATTGGGAGCAGCGCGAGCACTCAGAACCTTCAACTCCCGAGTAGCATTCGCACTGTGCCGTCTTGTGGTTGCAAGAGCCGAGTTTGCAGTAGGGCTGGGATTGTGGATAGCAAGCACCAAGAGTGTAATAATTGAAGTGGTTGATATCTCCATGCAAACGGCCAGTCACGATGAGGTCAAGGTAACCATCACCATCCCAATCTATTACCGTCGGTTTCGTTTGGGTTCCGAGATTTTCTGGAACCTCCTTTAACATCTCTGGCCGCATGACGAAACTGCCGTGGTCCTGTTCGAAATAGATGAAGCCAGAAAAAGCACCGCCCGAAACAATGAGATCCTCGGAGTTCTCAGGCACGCCAGCCAGAGATACAAGGAACCAAGAGAGTCTTAATTTGTTAAAGCAAAAAGTAACACAGCAAACAAAAAAAAACAAAAGGCAAAGCACACACACCAAAAAAACATGTAGCTTTGCGTGTTTATCGCTATGTTTCACTTTTTTGTGTTCTTTTCACATTTTTCCGCGGTATTTTCTTTTGTTTGTTTTTTGTTCGCATTGTGATCGTTTTTTTTGTTCTGGTACCACTTTTGCACTTATGAAACCGTTTACCCGTCAGCAAATATTCGCTGTACGCTCCTAAGGAAAAACACAACAAGCAACAAAACAAGTGAAAATAACACAAAAATCGTGAAACAAAAAACGACAAACACGCAAGCTCCATTTTCTTGTTTTTTTTTCGCTCTTGTTGCGCTGTGTGTTTGTTTTGTTATTTGCTTTTGCTTTGCTTTGTTTCTGTTTTTGGTGTCTTTTCATTGTCATGTGCTTTTGTTTTCTTGTTTTTTCATATTGTTAAAAAAAAAATATTTGATGGTTGGTCATGGTTGGTCATGTATGGCTGCCATTGCTCCACACAATGTTGCAGCATGATTCCACAAAAACCACAAAAACTACACCAGCACCGACCTCAAACAGCATTTGTTCACTCGGTTTGTTTTAGACAGCCGTGGCATACACAAGCACAAACATAACACTCTATGATTGAAAAACGTGTCTTTGCAAATTACATTGGGGCTTGTATTTTTGTTGACGTTCCCGGGCCAGGATGTTTGACTATGGGGCATGCTTCGGAGGTATGTTTCCAGGGTATGCTTCGGGGTATGCTTCGTACAGTGTGCAAACCAAAACAGACGCATTTTTAGAAAGTATGCTTCGGGGCATGCGTCGCCTAAGTAGAACATCCCAGCCCTACATAAACTGAACACTAAAAGCACACACCCATTATCACCCATTTGTGTATTTCGACAAGTGCAAGCGCACGTTGAAAATCATGAAGTTGCATTTCGCAAGGCGTCTGTACGTCTTTTTGAAAGCTCATGTTGTAACTATATATTTCTCACATCTGTGCCGTTCAACCAATACAATTGCATGTTTTCAGAAACATGACGTTGCACTTCCACAGTCACAAGTCTGGCTTGTCAGAAGCTGACCACAGCGCATATAACTGAGAGTACAAACGTGCGTTCTCACACCGCGGTGATTCCGAAGGCGCAATCCTGCAGTTTCCCTAGCATCCCATTGCACGCTGTATGATATGCACCTGTCGCTTTTAAATGCACAGGCCTGTGTTTCCAGTCGCACTGGTCTTTCCATGGGCATAAACCTGCCCTTTCAAAAGCATCCCGTTGTGCGTTGCAGAAATTCGTCTGCGTATTTCGAGCAATCCTTCTCAGAAACATGATGTTGAATTTCCACAGTCAAACTTCGCAAACTTGGTCTTGTCATCACATTTGTGTGTGCATCCTGGATTCAAGGGCGTCTTTTTTGTTGCGATTTCCTGGTGTATTATGAGCAGTGGGGTCCCAGAGGAGCGGTGGCCAACGAAGATCTCCTCTGGGACCCTTTGGAAACATCGCTGTCGTTTGCTTTCATGGTGGTTCATGTGGGGCGGCAAACGTTTAGTTTTGTGCAAAGATGTTGACACGATACGTCGTGAACCACTTTTCTTCCTCCTATTCTTCTTCGTTTTCATGTTGTTCTTTCTTTTGTTGTTTCTAGCAGGTTTGCTAGGCGCTATCAGGTCGGAGTCAATTCTACACCTGTCCTTCACCGAGCGTTTTCCTTCCACTTCTCCAGGGCGCGATGCTTTCAGTTCGGACGCCGTATATTGTATCTCGAGTGCCTTTTCTTTTTAGACATGCCTTTGTGTAGTAATTAAAAGTGCGCGCTTGCAGAAACAAAACGTTGCACTCCAGAGTCAATATTTGGCCTTTCCAAAAAGCATTCACAAAACCTTATGCGCTTCGAGCACAGTGGGCGATTTCAGAAACACGCCACACCAGTGTGAGATGAAACCGAAGGTTCACTGAACCACCGAACGCACGCTATCACGATCCGGCGAAAGCCGCCAGAAAGGAGACAAGCGAGCCAGTTCCAATTCCATACGTCGTGCAAAAAGATTTGGTCTTAACATCCAAGAAGAGCCATGGAAGATCATCTCAGCCCAGCGTCCAAAAGAGCCATGAAAAACGAGGGTGACAAAAAGCGACAAAGTAGAACCATCTCACACCACTCGCTGCACAACCCAAGATCAACTTACTTGCGCACGTGAGGTCGACACCAGACCGAGAAGATCTAATTGAGAAGGGGAGATGTCCCAAAACTCACTCGCGTGTGGGAAAGCTAACGCAGTATGTGGGGCTGCGATGTGGGTTGAATGGTTATTTGCTGCTCGGAGTGGCTCCTTCCTTCACTATTTTTTCGGGCGGCTCAGAAGGCAAAATCATTTTAGCCCAGCATCCAAGAAGAGGCCTGAAGGTGGAAGGGATACAAAGCAGGAGCCAAAGCCCAGCAGCCAGAAGAACTATGGAAGACAAATGGAGGCAAAGCAGAATCTTGGAAGCAGAATGTTATCCCAGCCAGGATCGTATCCATGCAGTTTCTATTCAAGAATTGAGACGAGAACCCTCACAGCAAAGCTATTTGTTGAAGAATCACACCAGCATAGCAGCTTGCTGTTGTTTTGCCCATGTGGCTTGCAGCTTGTTGTTGTTGTTTGGGGACTCGTCTCAGCCTCACATCCAGAAGAGACATGGGAGACAAAGGGAAACCATGTCGTGACTGGTTGCTTCATGTTGCTTCTGTTGCGTGATAAGAAGGGAGAAGCAGGAAACAAGTGGCGAAACAAAAGGAAGTCGTGTTGCGTGAAGAGAGACAAGTGGCGAGACAAAGGGGAGATGGAAAGGGAAGCAAAGAGTAAGGCAAACAAAGCAGAATGATCTCAGCCCAGCATCCAGAAGAGCCATGGGAAACAAAGCCGGGCTCAGCTCAGCATTTAGAAGAGCCATGGCCGCACAGACCCCACAGGCCCCACAATCTCAAAGCACAGGCAGACAAGCGGGGAGACATTTCAGTGGGTGTCGAAACAGCAGCGTTCCGCGAGCTTTTGCGCGCAGCACTAAATAGGCTAAGGCTGTGGCGAAACTGCCGTCCTGGACCCTCGCTGGGGAGACAAGTAAGGGGACAAAGGAAGCAGTGGCACACAAACAAGCAATTGGGAGACAAGTGGGGGGACAAGGCCGCAGTGGCAGTGGTGGACAAAAGGCCGATCAGCCACCCAGTCATTGAGCAGTAAGAGCCCTATAGCTTTCAGCTATCTGGTGAACAAAGCAGAATCATCTCAGCCCAGCATCCAGAAGAACCATGGGCAGCAAAGGGAAAACAAACGGAAGCAAGCAGAATCATCTCAGCCCAGCCTCCGGAAATCCTCTTGGCCCGGGATCGTTACTATGCAAGAATTGAGACCCGCTCACAGCAAAGCTGTTTCGGGAACAAACCAAGTGCGGTATCCACGATGGCTGGCTGTTTATAGGGCGCTTGCAAACACAGCCTTCTACAGTCATCCAAAATCCAATAGCATGCAAGTCTCCAAATCACCATCATCATCGAGATCCACAAAGGCGCTGCACGTGGCCCAGAAGCCCTCTCGAACTGCTTGAACTAAAGTTTTGACAGCCACCTGGACATCTTCTGGTTCCCCGCTGATAAGTTTGCTGATTTCTGCATCAGACAGGGAACCAAATTTCTGCACAAACCGTTGGCTGTCGTTTGCAGGAAGCCCTGCAATCACCAGGATACTGACCTCAGGACTTTGGTGCTGCTGGACAAACGGGTTGGAACAATGCCAACAACAAACAATTCCACTGCGGCAAACCTGTTGTACAACGACCCACAAAAGTCCGATACTTTGGAACACTGGCAACGCCAGTCTTTTGTGAACACATATGTGCATCCAATGATCCGAAACTCAAATCCCTGCCGTGCCATTTTCACACGGCTGTGCTTCTTTGCATCGTGTGGTTTGACCCTCTGTTGTGTGCATCACGAATGTCCCGCTGTCTTCGATGTGTTTATTTTTCGCTCGAAAAAAACAAAATAACAAACTCACAACAGTCAAGGCGATGCACCCTCCTTCCTGCAGTGAATGCAAAGAAATAAACTATGCGGGTAACCGTGTCCGAATTGTTGGTGACCAAACACTACCAAACATTTAATGTTTCAAAGTCAACCATGGAAAACGCAAAACGCCGATCAGTTGCTAAACAAACTCTTGAAGTGACCCATGAACAGTTGAAAAGGGAACTTCTTGCAGCTGGCCAACATTCTGGAACGGACTCTCTTCCACCCTCTGGAAGCTTTGATTGACCTGCCATCAATTCAAGCAACCAATCAGAAAATCCATCAAGGATCGCGTTGGTGCTAAGCGTTTGCTGAGTTTCAAGCGGACCTGACATCAAGTGTTATCCGACAATATCCCTTCGTGCTGACAAGTGAATGACGAAAGAGTTGATCCTGCTTCGTCCAAGGCTTTTTCGACGACCCGATCGACAGCCCATTGGACCGGAGGTGGCATGTTGATAAAGTTCCAAATGTCCTCTGTCAGCTCCTGCCACTACGTCCATGTTGCCATCACCATCCCAGTCAATCAATGTAGGGCACGGAGGCGACAAAGGTGATCCTTGCGCTGCGCGCTAGAACACCAGCAAGTCTTTTGTGCTGGTCGAGCCTCATGTGCTCACGCATGCTTTACCTGAGAAGGGAGGGGGCGAAAGCCAGCCTCTGGCTTAGGGGGTGCCCTCAGGGTAGGCCCGGGCAAAGACTTGGCGCGGAAGAGGAAGTGATGGGGTAACATCGGGCAAAGATTAATTTCATGGGGTGAAGTTGACATCGCAGCCACACTGATAGGGGGTAGAAATGGAAAGTAGAAGACACAGGTCTGGGGGGGGGTGCCCCTTGTCGTACCGGTTCAGGGTGATTTGGAGGTGAAAAAGGGCGAGGCGCGCTTGCCGGCGGCGTGTTGCGAATCAGTGAGCAAACACGGCGGTGGGGGTTCATGTGCGAGGCTATGGGTAGGGTAGGTGAAGATATATATATATATTATATATTTGTATGTAGGTAGGGTGGACAAAGAGTAGCCGGAAGTGGTGAGGTTGATATTGGAGCGACGTCAGTGCGCAAGATGAACTGATAGGCTAACACTATGTAAAGAGTGCGTGAATGTGGCGATAGGAGGTAGAAATAGACGGTAGAATCAAAAGGGGGTGCCCTTTTTCGTGCGGGTGCAGAAGTGTTGTGGAGGTGAAAAATGGCACCCTCGAAGATGTTATGTGAGTTCGAATGAGTGACCAGAGACGGTCGTGGGCGAGGCTATCGGCAGGCTTTCGCGAGGACATATATGTATATATATATATACTTATTTAAATATATATTATAGAGTGGACAAGGAGGAGCTGGAAGTGATGAAGTGGCTATGGCCGTCACTCGAGAAAGAATGGAAATAAAGAGTAGAATACAAAGGTTTGGGACGGGTCCCTTTTTGCGTCTCGATGTTGGGGCGTCCTTGTTGTATGGGGAAGGTTGGGTATGGTGTGTTGGTCTATGTTTCAAGTGAGTTGATGGCTGGCTTTCGTGATTAGATATTCTGGTTCAGTTGAGCTTGGAAGTGCTATGGTTTCCAGCAACAGCTGGCCACTTCAAATGGCACAAAATTGCAAACCTCTGTGGTATGGATGCAATGCGCAGTCTCATATGTACAAAATAGTTCAATAACTGCACAAGATTACACATGTGATTGGTAGAGCAAGGAGATTGCACAAGCTCAAGACAGTTCACGTTTCACAGTGCTGGAGTGTCCATTTTCCGGACGTTTTGTCGACCCACGGGAGAGGTGCTTCTCAGCTTTGGAAGCTTTCGTCGCAGGGACGGGATCTTAACACATGTCATATGGGGTCCCCTTTTGAGTCCAGTAACTAGACCTTGCCACGTGGAAAAAAGGGCGCCCCTAAGCAATTCAAAACCTTCCGCCTCCAACACTCGCCCGCTGCAATCTCTTCTCTCTCCTGCCCACACTCTGGTCACCTTTTATCCGCTCTGGGGCATGTTCAGGAAAGATTATGATCCCTGAGTCAGTGGGATCTTTATTAAGAAGGGTCCAAAAGCATATAACAATCATTTCATATGCTTCATTTCTTCAAGCGCTCAAGTAGGGCCGATCTTTTGAACGTCGAGATCAACTTTTGACGTTTTTCTGGGAGGTTGACCTCCCTCCCTGGTAGTCCAGTCTCTCCATTGTCTGTCGTCAGGGTCCCGCGGCTTAGACTGACAGCCAAGAATAAATGTCACGCGAGGCTCCAACCCGTAGGCTTGGGGCTGCTTAGTGCTGCTTAATGTTGCGACATGCGCACGAATCCTACACGGGCGGCTATGTATGCCACAGCAAAATGCTAGCGAAAGCTGCTTGCCTCCACATTGTAGGTTCAACAGCTTCCCTCAGCGTTTGGGGTATATAAACACTGCGTTCCTGAATGAAACTGATGCATGGAACAAAAAGATAGTAATAAGTTGGCTGCATGCCAAAGTCTTCTTGCATGGTTCATCTCCTTGTCCAAAAACTTGCCTTGCCACTTGTTCAAGGTCCCTTTTCTCAAACTTGGCAGTTCAGCTTTGCTTGTTCAATGACTGGATTCCTCAAGCAATGATGTCCGTTTTTGAAGCGAAGCTTTATCTGGTGTTGAAAGGGGAGGAGGGCGACGCTAGGGTCTTTCAGTTCATTGGATTTCCTTGAAGCCTGCACCCAGAATGACAACAGTGTCTTTTATACAAGTAAACAATTGGCGCTGTCCTCAAAGGACGTTGAGTTCTTTCCAGCAAAACACATATTGAGGAACAATCTCTGGGGATCGCGCACAGGCTCCTATGCCCTTTCTGTGTGACTGGTGTGGCTGAACAACGCTCACAAGGAAGGGAAGCTTTGTAGACAAGAGCATTCAATGGGAAGGTAGTTTGGGAAGTTGGGAACCTTTTGCGAAGATACTCAGCTGTTACAGGTGTTATACTTCATGTTTAAAGCACATGCCTCAAGAAAACATCCGTCAGGAAGCCGAAGAAACAACAGATTCTGCAATGTCACTCTTAACTTACACTAAAAACATGTGTAGTACTTGGGAGTGTCATCTGTGGTGATTCTCTTGATGCTGCGGCAGCCTTTGAAATGACAAATAACTATTCAGAAATGTCAAGAATCTAATTATAGCTAAGGTGGTTCAACTTGTGGACGTGTCACAGTGCGCTCATGGAGGTGTGCATGGTCTCTATCCACATATATATTGTGAAACATCTGTATTCTTACCTAAGCTGAACGTCTGTTGCCCGAAAAAAGTAAAATTGACTGCACAATCGCTTGAACTGGTGCAATAATGGTAGTTCGACACCCAAATCCATCGAAATTGACCTGGATCGTCTTCGTAGTTGCCACTAGAGCTATGAAACAATCGTGGAATCTCGTGTTCACGATTTGCATGTGTCTTACATTTGAGATCTCATGTGGGCCTCACAATGTGTTCTGCAAGAAAAACAAGTCGCCTTGACAACCTCCCTGCACTATTCAGAAACACTCTTGTGTCTTGTTTCCAAAGCGCAACTCGAGTCTCCCAAAGGTGCGCTAGGGAACTCGGTCGCTGGGTTTCGTCTCATCAAGGGCCTTCTGCACAAGAAACAGCCTTTTGGTTTTGAGAGGCCACTAAGCAGTGGCTAAGTCACCTGCGACCATATTATATGCGTGTATTACCAAGGTGCTCTCAAGCCCGGCAATCGGAGATAGGAAAGAGGAGGTCGCATGGCATGAACAAAAACCTTTTCAATTGCTGTCCGCGCAAAGACAGGAACACTAATCGAATCCAAGAACAACGCGACTTTTCCAACTATATATACCTGAGAAGGGGGTTCTGCCTGGATTCAGTTTTTTCTCTCCTGTCCTCTACCTGCACTCACGCACCTGGTCAGCTCACCTCAGTGTGAGGTGCCCTTGTTTGCCAACTGCGGACCGCTGCTGCGGGCGCTTTGAAGCATCGGCTTCAAATTCTGCTAGCAGTCATCAGACATAGATATACACCCGGTTAGTTAATGTACGGAGCGGACATGGTTCCTTCGCACACGTCGAGGTGTCGGGTGTCTTCACATCTGCTTCTGTCAAGTGCCCTTGTTTGTTGCATGTCTATATCGGGTGAAAGAAAAGGGCATCCCACATCAATATCTAGTTGTAAACATAAAGCTCGCAAATGTTGGAGACCTCCTGTTGAGTTTGCCAACGCTGTCCTTGTGAGTTTAAGGAGGTTCCTGCCTGCATCTTTGCCTTTGCAAATGTCGTTCAGTCTCCTCTCTCGTGTCCTCCACCCGGACTCGCATACCTAGCGGTATAGACAATCAAAATAGTCTCCTGAAAACTTTGAGATGCTCATGATGCACTATTCAGTGTCGCTTGCATCACTCAGACCCCTAAAAACACCTTCCTGACTTCCTCTTTTTTCACTCTCCCCCAACAGTCTCTGGGCTCACCCTACCCGGCGGGTCCAGTCCTGCGACCACCCCACCCCCCGATTACTCACTTCGTTTACCCATCGAGGACTCAGCCATGCCTATAGTCTGGCTTTTGTAACATATATAGATACAAATTAGAACTATGCATATATATATATATTGTTATACAAACTTGAGACAGGGAAACACGAAAGGTTGAGTACCACGAATATATGAAAGGTGTATCAAGTGTGGTGTGTGAAAGAAGGGACCTATGTCGGAGCTGCTACAACGCGTGGTGTCGTGGAGGCTTGTCAACACTGGTGTAATTGCGTGGCGCTAACCTGTGCCGCGCAAGCGCGGTCGTATGTCACGCGCGCGTTCCGCATAGGGTCGCGAGGAGAGGTTGCTAGGCGTGTGGTGTGGTGAGGTTTGATAACACGGTTTTGTGTAGAGGCTGTGTGCGTCAACGCTAGGGGTAAAGAGCAATATGGTGTGTGAACGCTGGCCTGCTTGAAAAAAATGCGGCGCGTAAACGCTGGCATGTGAAAGAGCTGCACGCGCTGCGTCTAAGCCGTGTTGCGCAACCTCATTGTAGGGGCACTGTTGCTACTGCCAGTAAAGGGACATCACGCTTAGTGGTGCTGGCGAGGGAAGGGGGGTCAATAGAATTGATATATATTTGGTCCCGAGCAACCCTTTTGCTTTGCAAAGCAAACTCAAGCTAGCCGTTACCAGGCTACCTTTCGTGACAGTCTTCAGGCTCGCAGAAGAGTGGACAAGCAGCAGAAGAAAGCTCTGGTCATCTCGACGAGGCTTTCAGCAGTCATGTTGCGCAGAGCAGCAGCAAATGAGGTCTCTCACGCAAACAACACACGAATCTGTGCAAGTGGAGAGCATGGCGACCCGCGCAACCGCAGCAAAGGATACACTTGGTATCACGTGGTTACACTCGGAAGCAGAAGGAAGAGTAGATCTCGCCGCGCACCTGCGAAGAGAAGCAAGTTTGCCGCGTAGCCGCGGATGTCACAGTTCGTTGCGGCTCTCTGCTTCGGTGTGTAGCACCGCCAGGCCTGCACAGCAGGACCGGCTAAGCTAATCAAACTTCATGGGGCGCGCATCCGGCGCAGCTTGTTTGCGAGTCCGCATGCAGGCGCGCACAAACGCTGACTCTATGACAGCAAACAAGGTCGGCCCGTGGGTAGAAAGTGGTTACCCCAGCAGAGATGAAAATCATGTCGTGAGCCATGAGGTCCACAAAGTGTCGCACTTCCCACGAAATCTGCACATCCAAGTAAAGCCGAGCCGCCCGAAAATAGAGTCGACTTGAAACCAACAAAATGCGAGAGTTTCCCTCGAACCTGCCACGAAAAGTGACCACCAAGTCCGAAAATGCACTTGGCACCACAACGACTCACGACAGCGCAGCCGAATCTTTCACGACTGCGCACCGTCAAAGTACTGCGCCTGCCACGGAAAAAACACATGCAACTGCCAGGAGGACAACTTTTTACACCCTGACAAATGCTTCGTTGCGAGTCGTGAGCAAGCAACCTGTTTGGAGAAATATACATGTTGGATCAGCTCCTCCACCTTTGAATTGATGTTCTGAAAGAAACAAGTGCCGCTTTTGCCACGTGTCATTGTTTGACCCAACGAATTGTGGCATGGGACCCCGCGACACTTTTAGCAGCGCTGGGTGTGGGGTAAGTTTCATTGACAAGAGATGGACACTTTCAAAGCTAAGGGGAGAATTGCGGAACATGTCTTCAGTGATAAAACAGCGAACCAAGTTGTCTCTTATATATATATATATATCCTCTCCCAATGTTCAAGTTCAAGGACTCAGGGAGAAGCAGGGCAGAATCGAACAAAAGACCTTTGTGTGGTATTTATGTAGCAGGAAGCCATCATTCAGGCGCCACCGGACGCTGAGATGCCTCCTTTACCTTTCCAACTTAATGTTTGGAAACGTCCTTGTTACCAGTAGTAAGGCCAGGAGCCCCTAGTAGTGTCCTCTTGCTACCAGTAAGACCAGGAGCCCTGTTTGGTGGGCGTCTCCCCGCTTCAACACCCAACTCCTCTCCTCTCAAGGCCCCAAAGGGATTGTCGTCACCTTCCATACTCTTGAAATGGCCATTTTCTTGACGGAGATAGCCTTGGCAGGCAATGCGTGGACCAACACTTCTTCATGGAAGTAGGTGTGTGAGCTGGTTGAGGCTGCCAGCCAAAGGTGCCTTGTGGGTTATCTTTCTGTTCTTCACCTTTGGATTTCAGCATTCCAAATCCAAAGTGTAAATCCCGGTGAGTCGCGACAAATTCGGCTCTGGTCAGTACTAGGGATGGCCTCCAACCTAGTAGCGGTGGCCTCGAACCTAGTAGCGATGGCCTCCAACCTAATAGCGGACTGCAAGTCCATCAATCTGCTTCAAAGGTACTGAACGACCCAAACAGTTTCCCTTCCACGATGTCAACATGGCCGTCTCCATCGACATCTCCAACAGCGAAGGTTGTCCTGTGTGGAGCTTGTTTCAAGCTTTGAGAGCGATCCAAAACCTAGTAGCGTCGTTGCTCCGTTCGTAGCTTCAACGACCGTTCCAATTTTGAGTGAAACCCAAACGGCATTTCCAACGGACTTCGCTTGCATGGATGTTCCACGGTTTCTCAGGCGGGAGAAGCACCCGTAGGAGCCCTAATAGCGTCCATGCTCCTAGTAGTAAGGCCAGGAGCCCCTAGTAGCGTCCTTGTTCCTAGTAGCGATGCCCTTAGCTAGTCGCTTATTTTGCTGAGTGGCTCAGGATAGGGTACCTCAGCATTGTGGAAGGGATTCTCTTCATCAAAGCGTTCCACCAACTCCTCGTCAATGTGTTCGAAGTACCTGAAAGACCTTTGCAGGGGACGGAAACCTCGCAAGATCAAGTCCAAATCGCCATCACCATCCATATCGAAGAAGTCAGCATAAGAGCCTTTCATGCCAGTGACAATCATCTCAAAAGGGTTCTCCGCTTCAACGAAAGCATGATCGAGCTCTTGTTTGTACTGGCGAATGTCAAGATCTGTTACATGGATAACATCAGCTTGCCCATCACCATCCCAATCTCCCAGAGCAAAGGCATTTGTCACATCTTCCACTTTCAACATGCCCTTGCAGGATTGGGCTGTCTAACACTCAAACATGTGGAGAAGCAATTCTTGAATACAAAACATGATAGTCACCTGCCTTGAAGGGATTCCGTTCATCGGACGCTTGTTCCAGCTCTCCATCCTCTGTCCGTTCGAAGAACTTGGCGTCTTGGCTTCCCTGAGAAACCGTCAATAGGTCGATGTCACCATCTCCATCCATGTCTCCGGCTGCGTAATAGGCGATGGGCCTCACCTCGAGGATGTGCTCCACGCTAGTTCCATCAGAAAGCTGTTCGAACCAGTAGATGGCCTTTTTGTACAAGACCAGCAAATCCAAATCTCCATCGTTGTCCCAATCGAGCATTAAAGGGTCAGAGTAACCGAACTTCACTCCGAGAAACGGATGCGTGTCAATCTGCACGAAGCTACCATCAACCTAGCAAGTCTGGTTTGCACGTACAATCGAATTTAGGCCCAGCAAGTTCGCACAGGGGGGGAACCGGGAACCGGTGGAAGGGATAAGGAGATAAGGAGAAGGAGGCTGCACAAAATGAGCCAAGCGTGATGAAGTGAGCGAGCCTGTAGGCATATCCCCACACTACTCCCGTGGTTGAGAGAGGTCCAGGTGAAGCCAATCAAATCCAGCATGCCATCTCCATCCCAGTCTGCCATGCAAAATCCATATGCAAGCTCAATATTGCAGGACATATTCCTCACTGAAAAGGTAGGCAGAGTGAGGAAATTCATGAAAACTCGCCTTGTTTTTACCGTTCCACAGATATTGTAAGCAAGATCAAGATTCTGAAAAGGACTATTTGGATGCTCGATGACCAAGTGATTGTCCAGGTGCTCCAAGAACCGGACAGCAGGTCCATCGCGACCTCTGAAACCGTCAACAAGCACCAAATCCTGATCTCCATCTCCATCCCAGTCCGCCAACAATGGCGTATAACTTACCTCGACAAAACTGTGCCTCAAACCTCACACCACAAGGACCTTGACAGGCCTTGTTTGCGTTTGCCTTTGCCTCAGAAGCCTCAGCGACTCTGATAAAGGCCACAATAGAAATGATTGCAAGGTGTTGTGGAATCGAAACATCAATGAGCAGAAGAAAGATTGAAGAGACATTGTCTGCTTAACTTGTCTCGTTTGGAATTGTTGAAGCAAGTGACTTTACTTTACACGTACTGAAGTCCCTTCCAAAGCTTTTCCAAGTCCTTTCCATTTTGATCATGCAGCAAAGATGCTCGACAGTATGGTTTTTTGCAAGCTTGTTGTCGTGCTTTGATGGGTATGGATGACAAAGGGACTCCCGATGTGGACATTTCTTTGAGCTGGCCGTCTTCGTTCTGAAAGAAAACCTCTAAGCCGTCTTTCCCTCCACACACCACATCAGTCTTGCCATCGCCATTCACATCAACCAATGACATTCCAGTGCCATAGAGATCAATATTGCTCAAAGGATTATCAATGGCAAACCTTGTTTGGCCATTCTGTTGCTCGAGGAGCTGAATCTTTCTCGCTGACCATTTCTCTGGCGTAACGCCTTCTGTCAACATGCGAGTGTAGACGTTCGGCAGCAGAAAAAGGTCCAAGTCTCCTAAGTCAAAACGAAGGCCCACAGGGCCGCCCACAGGGCCGCCCAGAGGGCTCATAAGTTTGCCAAAACTCAAAGGCGGTCCCACAACAGTGTGCCATTGTGAACAAACAGGTGGACCAATCTAAAAAGCTGTTGTGAATGAAGCTCAGCATCCGTCGCCATCCCAGTCAAAGACCTGCACTTGCAGCACAAACAGCACTGTCTAAAGTCGCATCAGATTCAACAGCTCTCGTCGAGCTTCCTAGTGTTTGTTGAAGGAACCAATCAAACATCAAACAACCAAAATGGCGCTGCTGGCGTCTGAGGCAAACTTGTGCGGCCACAGAGTGGGAAGTATTTTTGTTCCCAAAATGTTCTTGAAGAGTGGCTTAGGTGGTGGCAGTATCGAGTCTCAAGGCAATTCTTCTTCCAAGAAGTGTGCTTGCTTCGGCTGCCAAGATGTGAGGCGGGAATGGCAGCAATCGTAGTTAAGAAAACATTCTTGTGAGGTAACAAGGCTTTCCACGACTTTTGGGTTTTAACACGAACACATCTAAGCTCATCGAGCCCCTTTCGTTGTCAGAGCAGCAATCTGCTGATTTTGTTTATCTATTATAACTCCAACAGTGGCACAAATGACCTGGCAAACCTATCAAACACCACATTGAGAGATCCACAACAACCATGTTTCTTCTTTGGAGATTGCTGTGCCTTCGGCATCAACTTGGAGGACTTGAGAGAGTCGAGGTTGGAATGGTTCGCTGCGACCAGGAGGCCATTGCGCTGCTCGTAGTACCTCAACCCTTTGATTTGCCCTGCCAGAAGATCGAGGTCTCCATCCCCGTCCTGAGTTGTGCGTGACTATCTCAAGTTTCTGGTCAGCTTTAAAATTATGCATTTGAGAGTGGGCTGGGTTCCACACAAGCTTCACAAGAGGCTATGAATGAACATGCCTCCACGGGGATGTACAAAGATTGTCTCCCCTCTATTCGTGAACCCTGAATAAAGGTAATCTTGGTCGAAGAGCAGAGTTTTGGGCTTAAATTACATTGTATTGACCAATAAAAAAGCGACAAAACAAGCAAATAGGTCCCCCCATAAACTTACCTCTATTAATCCCTCTGTTCTTCGTTTAAAATAGCAATAGCTAAAGTAATTCAAACAGCAGCGTCCCAATCGCCAGCACTTAGTTGGATTCCGAAGGCCAGCTCTCCCTTGATGCCAGAGAAAGGGTTTGCATAGCCCTTTTGCTCCACAAGGCTTCCATCCGACTGTCTCTTGAAGAACCTGTGGACACAGGAAGATTGAACTCTCTTTCGTTTTTGTGAGTTTTTGGCCTGCCTTTACTCAATCAAGTATGCACCTACTTAGTTAAGTAAGGAAGTTCCGAGCTACTTAAGCTACTACATATGGACGCAAGATAGCTCACGCTCGCACTAATGATTTGGTTCCTCGGTTTTCAGCGAAACTAAGTTAAACCGCCATAATTCACCTAGCTGTGCTGATGGTCAAAGGAGGCTTTGATGAGAAAACTCTGAGTTAAAAGTTGCAGCTGAGAGTCGTACATGATTGGACACATTGAGTGAATGAGTGCGCGAATAGGTAAGGGGGTGAAAGGGCAAAATTTGGTTCAAGCGGAGGATGCAGTGACGTGTGCATGGTTTGTGCGGTTTTCTGCTGCAACAGTCAACGCGCAATTGAGTTTGTGCATCATTGGATCAGAATTCACGTGAGTTGTGCATGAGTGGCATTAATTAAACCGATTAAGTGTGAATGTGTTTATGCCTCGATGCCATCGATGCGCGATGCGCAACATCAAAGAAGACTCAAACACTGCCGACCCGAAGAAAGTCAAGGGACCGTGCTTTAGTCAAGGGCATGCAGTCGGACGAACTTGTACAGTGCACAGTGAGATGCTTGCCTTTGTTGACGACAACATCTATAGCCATGTTTTGCTC